GGGGTGAAATATCATCAGTATGCTGATGATACTCAGCTATACATCTCCACCCCGGACCACCCCAATGATGCCCTTAAAGTGATGTCCCAGTGCCTGGAGGCTGTACGGATTTGGATGGGGAGGAACAGACTCAGGCTCAATCCATCCAAGACCGAGTGGCTGTGGTTTCCGACATCCCGATATAGTCAATTGGTGCCATCACTGACTATTGGGGATGAGTCATTGCCCCCCACGGAGAGGGTTCGCAACTTAGGCGTCCTCTTGGACTCACGGCTGTCTTTAGAAGAACACTTGACGGCTGTGGCCGGGAGGTCTTTTTATCAGGTTCGCCTGATTCGCCAGTTGCGTCCCTTTCTGGATCGGGACTCGTTAAATACGGTCACTCATGCCCTCGTCACTTCACGCCTGGACTACTGTAATGGTCTCTACATGGGGCTCCCCTTGAAGAGCACCCGGAGGCTCCAGCTGGTCCAGAATGCGGCCGCGCGGGTAGTTATGGGAGCAGCATGGTGCTCCCATGTGGCTCCCCTCCTGCACGAGCTGCACTGGCTCCCTGTGGTCTTCCGGGTGCGCTTCAAGGTCTTAGTTACCACCTTTAGAGCGCTCCATGGCTTAGGACCGGGGTACTTACGAGACCGCCTTCTGCCACCAATAGCCTCTCACTGCCCAGTACGCTCCCATAGAGAGGGGCTTCTCAGGGTGCCGTCAGCCAAACAGTGTCGACTGGCGGCCCCCAGGGGGAGAGCCTTTTCTGTGAGGGCACCCACCATCTGGAACGAGCTCCCCCCAGAGATACAGAAGATTCTGGATCTGCGCACTTTCCGCCGTGCCCTCAAAACATTCCTGTTTCAGCAGGCCGGCCTGGCCTAACTTTCCCTTTATATTGCTTTTTTGATTTTATTTTAAACTGGGATGTCTTGAATTATCTAGGACCAGAGTGTTTAGTATATTTTAATTGGTTTTTTTATTAACGTTTGTATTACATGTATTTTTATCGTTCGCTGTTCACCGCCCTGAGTCCCTTAGGAATAGGGCGGTATATAAATTTAATAAATAAATAAATAAATAAATAAAATAGAAGCTTGGAAAAAAAAACAATTGTTATTTCTATATTCTTTATACAAATTCATTGTACTTTTGTTTATTTGGGGCCTTCAAGTCACTGTTGACTACTGGTGACTGTCTAGAATAGTCCCTGTAATTTACTTGGCAGGGTTTTTCAGAAGTGGGTTGCCATTGCTTTTTTCCTAAGATTGATAGAGGCTGACTGACGCGTATCCACCCAGCTGGTTTCATGTAAAGGCAGGACTAGAACTTACAGTCCCCTGGTTTCTAGCCTACTACACTGGACTGCCTCTTAATTTACCTTTACACATATTTTGAGATAACAAAAATATATAGCTTAAGAAAATTCTGAATAAAGCTCAATAGATAAAGTAATAATCAGTTAGTTGGGGAATAAATTTCCTTATAATATCAAATGTTTGAATGTGCTGGGTTTGCAGATAATATTTTCATAGAATAAATTACTTGGGTATGTCTAAGAGACTATAAAACTTGTTAATCTTAATTTCTGAAGTAGGTCTGATATTGATCTCTATATACAGTACAATTACTGAAAGATGAAATGAAAGGTAATAATATTTGTGAGACCTTCTGGGGGTTAAAAATGCTTGTGATCGGAAAATATAGTTTTGTAACAGAAAATACCTGTTTTTAGTTAGATTACTGGGAGTATCACCCTGAAATCTATACTGCATGTAACTTTTTAAGACAAAACTAGTAAGTCAAGTTCCCTGTAATAGTAGAAACAAGCAGAGCACACACGTAAGCTAGAATTTTCTTTTGTTTTTGCATTGCCCAATGAAATTAATGTACTAAGAAAACTGAATACACATTTGGAATCATAAAGTTTCTAACTTAATTTTGGATTCTATCTCTTTTTTGGAGGGTGGGATAAGATAAGTAATGATCTGATATAGATGAAGATTTTATTGATCCCAGTTTACATCTTATTTTATAATTGGGCAAATTCTTTGCATTGAGCCATATTAGGACAAACCCGACAAACAATAGATTAAGAGATTTAGATCTCTAGACTCTACCATGAAATATCATATAAATAGCCACTATTTCAATATTAATATTACTGTACATCCATGTAACTTTGTATCAGTGTTCCATACTTTGACATTTATTGCATCTTAGTAAAAATATTCCTACTGTCTAAAAATTTATGTAGCTTGCATGAAAAGTAGCAGGAATTGATTATTGAAAACAAGCAGCTCCTGACATAATACAAGCTTTGACTTTCAGGCTTATAAACCTTTCATTGATGAAGGCATTCTAGTGCTCGGAGTTTGTAGAAGACAACTATCCTCTACATATTCCTAAAATAAGTTCAGTTGGTTCGAAATCTAACCCAAATAAGTGCAGCTTTCTAAAACTGCACTACATAGCAGATTTATACCTATATTTTTCCTTTAAAAAAGGAGAATTGTTTTCCAATAATTATAACTCTAAATAATTACAAAATACCAAGAGAGTGTCCTTGTTAGGAGGTGGCAATTGATATTCTTCAAATCAGGGATGGGTTTCAAAACCCGGTGCTACCGGTTCTCTCATGGGCGTGCTCGTGCGCGACACTTCTGTGCATGCGCAGAAGCATCCGGGAGGGTGGGCAGAGCCTCCTGCCGCCGCCGCTACCAGTTCGTCCGATCCAGTGTGAACCGGTAGTAACCCACCAGTGCTTCAAATGTCTTGAACTATAATGCCCCAAATCCTCACCACTGGCCATACTGGTTGTGGCTGCAGGATCTGAAATCAAATACAGAAGGACTGCTTTTTATCCTCTATACCAGGGGTGTCACACTCATGTTGTCATGGCAGCGTCACATAATTTATTGGGACTTTCCCCCCCTTCGTTAAACTGGGCACAGGCATGGCCAATGCATGACGCATCTGGCCCACGGGCCAGGAGTTTGACAGCTCTACTCTACACCCTGCTCAAAAACAGAGATCTGGGCCATGATTTCAATTTTTTAAAAAACAAAGCTTCAGTTGCTATGTTGCTTTGTCCTAGCTCCATTTTAGCAGAGCCTTTAGATCATACCTCTTAGATTTTGGGGCACACAGTGGTTTTCAGTTGCATAGTTGTGAAGATTCCCCACCCCCCCAAAATCTGGAGAAAACTTAAATCTCTCTGCACAAGGAGGCTGTCTACTTCTATTGTACTGTAGAACAAGGTTCAATATATGAACACATCAGTTAGAAAATATTAGACTGGAGATGAATTCACAGTAGTTGATGTATACAGGGCCTTTGCTTGAGGGAGTCTTTATTGTTATGATACTTGATGTTCCAGAAACCTAATAAAAATATGATTTATAAGTGTATTTCAAAGTTCCCATCTTTAACTTGCAAACAGTGAAAACATCATCTTTACAATCGCCTAAATATCCTCCTTAGAAATAAAAAACCTTCTGTGAGTTCCCTTAGTCATTCTTTAATTATTTTCTTTTCTAAATTGTTGTAAATAGTGACTGAAGATGATAAATTGACAACTTTGGGACAGGATGATTAGGCAGTTGGACATTAATCCAAGATGTGATATAACAGGAATGTTTTTTTAAAAGAAGGAGAGTACATGTAGTTCTTGACTTATGACCATAACTGAGCCCAAAATTTCTGTTGTACGCAAGATGGTGGCTAAGTGAATTTTGCAAACTTTCTTGCCACAATTGTTAAGCCAACCATTGCAGTTGTTAAGTTAGTAACATGGATATTACGTGAATCCAGCTTCCCCATTAACTTTGTTTGTCAGCAGGTCGCAAAAGGTGATCACGTGACCCCAGGACACTGCAACTGTTATAAATATGAATCAGTTGCCAAGTGTTTGAATATTAATCACATGACCAGAGAGATGCTGCCCTGGTTGTAAGTATGAAAAATAGTCATAAGTTCACTTTTTCAGTGCCATTGTAACTTTGAATGGTGAATAAATGAACTGTTGGGAGTTGGGGATTACACCCCAAAAGCATTCTTTTTATTGTTACAGCAAAGCTGACCCTTTGTATGATATGGTGAAAATATACAGTATATTACATTAGCTCAGAATACTATTGGTCAAATATATTTTCACATGAATTGAAAAACGTCTTAGACAGAAATGTACATGTCAACAGCCTTCTACACAGCAGCTTTAAAAGCAAATAAATCAGCCTTCAGTCCTGGCGACTGGTTGGACAATCCCTGCAGGATTTTCAGAAGTAATATTCTACTGCCTTCTTCCAAGGTCTGAGATACTGTCCCAAAGCCACCCAGCTAACTCTGTGCCCAGGTTCAGGACTGGAATTCATGATCTCTCAGCTTTAGCCTGGGATCTTATGGTAAATTGCCACCATCTTGGATTTGCAATTCTTGTGGATAAAATGAAAAAGTTGGTATTACCCAGAAGAAAGCAGAATACAATACAGCATTACAATAAAGCAGCACACTGAGTTTGCTTCCAGTTGAGCAGAATGGCATTCCTATTAGCAGAAGAGAGGCAAATGTCTTTCATCTGTGTAGACTGCCTGAAAACTGCTTCAGATGAATGGAAAACTCTTTGTTATGAGAGGATGCAAGAGACATTAATTAAACAAGTATTCCTGCTGGTGGGATCCTTCCAATTCTACTTAAACTTTTCATCTGTTTGTCTCTTTTCTATCCTTTGTCAGCTTTAACCTATAGCACTTGAACAAAACTCAAAAGCACATGCAGTTTTGCACATAATGAGTAGTGTCAGATAGGATTCTGTCTCCCCAAAAGATAAAAACACAAAATACATACAGACTTTTCAAGATTAACCAAGAATAGAGAATCCCATTCTGGAAGTATCTTAACACATTAAAGTGCTCAATATGTTTAATTTCTCATCAAAGCTTAAGCAGGAATGACAGATTTATATTACATTTTAGCAAAGTTGGGGTGAAGCTAATAATTATCATGTTGTCACCTACCTATTAGTTCTTTATTTCGGACATCTAAGGCCATATTCCGTAAAGCTGTTGCAACCGCACATACCACCCGATCATTGTCTATTCGAAGAAGTTCTACTAGTATAGGCAGGCCTTTTTCTTTCCGTACTGCAGCACGGATATATACTGACCACTGCAGGAAAAAAAAAAATGAACATGACAAATCAAATAATTTTCATCATCTGAAGAAGGAGGCTATAGCAAAAGTTATTTAGCTATGGAAAACAATGATAAAAAATCATCATTTTATATAAGCTAATAACTGCCAATCTCATTTTGAATTACTGACAGATACCGTCGTTACTATCCTCATATTGTAGAAGACCGAGTAGCTTTGTCTGACAGTATAGTTTGGGATTGAACCAGATATGTGGTTAGCCAGTTCACTTCACAGGTTTGCATCAAGCTATAAGGTGGGAAATATTGTATGGGAAAGTAGGTAATTGCAGAAAGTATGTATGAACTGTGCCGTTTCCCCCCAGATAACATTGATGATTGGATGGATCAGAAACAAATAAATATATATTTTGCTTTCTTGAACTCCATCTACTCAAAACCTTTCCCAGATGTTCCAATCTACTTTATCATGAGCACATTCTGAAAAGCAGTTAGATGTTATTAGGTGAACATTTATTGTATATGTGTCTGTACATAAACACCTACAACACTCACACAAACTTTGCAACAATACAGCATATAGTCCAAGCTCCCCAAACTCCGACAACTAATTCTAATTCTGTCACTGTGTGCTCCTATATGCATTTTGAGCTTATGCTCTTTCCAATGTTCTGTATAATAAATCACTTTTGAAAGACTGCTGCACAATTAAGGTGGAATGTAAGGCAGGAGCCTAAACTACTGTATTTTAGGCATAGATATAAGTTGTATCAAATAATAATCCTGTTTATAATGTTTTCTTTGTGAAAACTCCATATAGAAAATCCCATAATTGTCACTGTGAATCAAACTATAATCCTATCTATGCTTTCAAATTATGAATCTTCTCAGATATTTTATTAATCATGCAAGAATTCTTGGGGTACTGTCAATAAGGATATGTTTGCAAGCAATTATCCTCCCCATATTTCTTGCAAAAAAATTCAGTATGAGATGCTGCTACTTCATTCTTTTTCCAAAATTGAGAAATAAATTCATTCTTGAATATGTTCACTATTGTTATTAAGCAAAGTCCTGCACATATACTCTAAAAGTCAATAAACCTCAATAAGCCTACTAGATAATTTTTTAAAAAAATGACAAAGAAAAATAATTTTTGAGGGGTGGCAGTGTGTTTTGAAATTGGAGTATACTTAATCATCCAGTTAGTCCATAAATCAGACTGACATCAGCATTCAAATAATTGCTCAGCATGAAAGGAGAAAATGTACCTCTGAGAACAGCCCATTCTAATTCAGAACACAGAATAACAGAGTTAGAAGGGACCTTGGAGGTCTTCTAATCCAACCTCCTGCTTAGGCAGAAAACCCTACACCACTTCAGAGAAATGGCTAATTCAAACTAAGGTTCTACAGTAAACAACATTTTCTTTGCTCTAGCATTTATTTGCTATACCAATTAAAGGAGAACATTTCTGTAATATACTATTATGCTTTAGTTTGTCATTGTTATTATGAAAAATAATTTCCTTGACTTTATTCTTCCATTAGATTAAACAAAATCAATTTAAGAGGCCAGCATGGAAAATTAAGATATAAGTTTGGTGCTTTTGTTTAACAGAGTTTTAGATAGAAGTAATTCTGAGTGGAGGAAATCATGAATCTCCATTGATTGTCCAAACCCCCCCTTCATTCTGAGAAGAAATGGCAGTAATTTCCCTCCCCCCAGCTTTGACCAGACTTGAGTAGCCTGGATGGTATGTAGGACAGGCAGAAAAACTTGTAACCAAACAGCCAATGCACATATCCCATCTGCCTGAGGAGACAGGTAGGAGGGCTCATATTAACAGTAAACCAAGCCTTTAAGTAGGGGAGGAAGAAATTTGCCCAGATTAGCCTGAGAAGCTTTCCTCAATTCTATTGTTGCTAGCAAAAGCCCTTTGTATTAAGACTGAAGAAAAGAAGAAAGTTGGGATATGTGAAAAAGGCAGATTACCTGGGAGAGGAGCAGAGAGAGAAAAAAAATCTGGAGTAGGAGAAAAGATTTCTGGATGAAAAGGACAAAATGGGGACTAGAAGTAGCCACATGATTTTGGTGAACTAGTTTCTGGGAGAAGCAGAAAGCTAAGCAACACTTGCGCAAGAGGGAAATGTTGTAAGAGTGAAACTAATCTCTGTGACTGGAGTTGAGGAAGAACACTGAATCAGATCAGGAAAATCTACAGGGAGAGAGAATAATGCCTGCTTCAGCATGGATAAGGCAAAGTATTTAATGGCTAGAGTATTAAGTGCCGATGGTAAAAGCAGTATTTCTGGGCATTAGGTGAGAGAAGCATTGAACTGCAACTCACAAATCTCTAGGGAGTCAACAGCTAAGAAGAAAAGCTCCTAAAATTTGGACTGAAAGCTGACATCTATGGGAACAGTTTTCAAATTCCTGACAGGTATTAAGCTTTGGGATTTAAAATGAGAAATTTGAATTCCATTCTGTATTTTTTTATAAGTTGCAAACTGAAGAAGCTGCAGACTCTCAAACCCATCCAGTTAGTGCCAGTGTGCATCATTAAATGTTCGCTCATCCATAAAATTGATCTGGAGGCTCTCTGTACTATCTCCATGGCCAAACCTCCAAGGAAGAAGAAAAGGGGAATCAAGATGGGAGCTGAGAATCTGTTCAATTAGCACCGGTTGCTCCCTGCTATGGTGCATCTGACAACAGGACCTTTTGAATGAGGTTGGGTATTGGCTGTCCCAAGCATGAAGTGCTCCTTGGAGTGCTGGGAGCTACAAGCAACATCTTACATGTGACATCTTCCAAACATTACAAGTGGAATGGCAGAGAGCACCCTCTGACCCTACCTCAATTAATGGTTTTTTTGCCTGATTTTTCTTGGGATTTGGAAGAACATATCTGTTTTCCTGACAAACATATCAGTTTCCATTAGTGTGAATCAGGACAAGCTAGGAGCAGCTCAGGAAAGTGGGATTAGTGGGATCAGGACAAGCTAGGAGCAGCTCAGGAAAAAATTTCTTTCTGGGGCAATTAAATATTATAGGTGAGGTACTGATTCCTTGCATTAAGCTAATTAGCCTGCTTCATGAATTTTGATATTTTGAATGTATCTGCTAATGGTTTCCAGGAATTTTTGAATCAGAGGTTTATTGCCCTTCTGTGACTCCATTCTTACATGTTTTGTTATATCTGAGAACCTCAGTTCCAACCTGTTTGGTCCATGCCCACTCACTCCAAGAAGAGTCTAGTGCAGTGATGGCGAACCTTTTAGGGACCAAGTACAACCCAAAACCCACTTATTTATCACAAAGTGTCAACATGGCAATTTAACCTGAACAATGAGATTTTGTGAGGAATTTCAATCACTCTTTCACAACTTGACTTCTCCCTGGTAGCACTGGATTTATTTAACAGCACAACTCAGGAATGATGGGAGTGTAGTAGCCTCTGGAGGACCATCACATCCTTATTCCTTCCCTTCCCCCCCTCCTCTGATTTCACCTTCCTTCCTTTAATCCTGTATATTATGGTTCGTTATTGTTAGTATTTATTAAAGAATGTTGTGTAGCTTAGAAGCTCTCAGCAAAAATAACAGCAGCTATTGTTTGTGGCTGAAGCTATCCCGGGCTGTTATTTATACATACACACACACACACACCTATTTTTATTCCACTTTCCCTGGGTCCTTGGGAAAGGAATGGCATCTTTTCCCCATCCCCATCTTTAATAAACCTAACCCCCCTCGCAGCCTTTTAATTACTATTGTCCTACCTTGCTTCCCCTCCCCTTAGAACAAGGCTAGGGAAGAAAGCCAGGAGGGGGGAATCTAAGGGGGAGGGAAGAAGATACTCAGGCAGATCCCTCTCTGAATAGCCTCCCACCCAGATTTCAACTGATTTCCTCTCTGATCCTCCGACAAACAGACCCCACCCCCTTTTTGGACTCTGGACTGCCGGGCCTTTATTTTCCCCATTTATTGGGGGAAATTGGATTTTTATTGGGTTTTCCCCCACCCCACACCAAAAGGAAAGCCAGCCAGTCTTCTTCTTCTCCTCCTAGAAGCCCCCATACCCTTCCCCGTGCCCCCTTCCCCCTATCCCCAACTCAATCTCACTTCAAGATAGAGGAGTGTGGGCTGGAAACACGTGTTGGGACGATGTGGGAGAGCACCTTCTGACCCTCCAGCGCTCGGCCCGCAACTCTCTGTGCTCCTCCTGGCCTTTTTTCCCTCCTTGCTGAGGAGGGTGGGAGCAGCCCTGATGCCTCTGCTGCCACCCCCCCCAACAGCCCCAGCCATCGCTACCTGGCTTCCTCAAAGGCAGTGGTGGGATTCAGCCAGTTCGCATCACTTCGGGAGAACTGGTTGTTAACTTTCTGAGCAGTTTGGTGAACTAGTTGTTGGAAGGAATCATTAGGGCAGAGAACCGGTTGTTAAATTATTTGAATCCCGCCACTGCTCAAAGGCATGGTGCATTTCAAAGGTGGCAGCTTGCGTCTGGAGGTGCCCAACAGTGTCCTGCTGTGAGAGCTGGGCCAGGCCTCTCCATCGTCCAACTTGCTAATGGGGGCGCTTCGGTTGGGCCGGCCACCCCCCCCAACTGGGCTTTTGTGCTCAGCACTCGTCCCAGGGAGGGGAGCACTTCCCCATGCCACTCCCTTCTTTCTCTTGGTCCCACCGACAAAGAAGGAGGAAGGCCAGGCTTGGGGGATGGCTCCCTCCCCACAAGATCCACCCCGCTATTCTCTCCCAGCCCTCTTTGCTGGCAGCAACAGCAAATGTACCGCAATGAAGGCAGAATGCTGTTGCCATGCAAAGGCAAGTGCAGGGGTGCTTTGCTCCCGCACTAAGGATCCACCCGTTGACCATGACAGCTCTTTCATCCGTCTGCCATGACAGAATGACAGGGAGCTGCAGCAGAGGGATGAAAGAGCTGCATGGGTTGCATTGTGGCTCCACGTCATAATGGGCTTCAGGAGGAGGACAGGACCCCACCTCCCCCATTGTGAAGCGTGTGAGTGAAAAAGTTCACTCAATCAATTCCAACTTCGCGAGATCTTTTTCTTTCTGAGAAGTTGCAATTGATTGAGTGAAACACAATGGAGAAACGCTATTGGAGCTGAGCTGAGGCGACAGTGTGCGTGCCCACAGAGAGGGCTCTGCATGCCATATCTGGCACACGTGCCATAGGTTTGCCATCATGAGTCTAATGCCTTATGTTACCCAATTGTTACTTCAGAATAAAAGAAAATATTTAACTTTAATATTTAACTTAAAATTAATGTTTCAATCATAAAAGCTCTATTTGGATCACCTCAATAGGAGAAATGGCTACTAGTCTCTGGCCACATGGCTTATACTACTGTAGCCAGAAGATGAGATATTGTTTTCCTTTTTATAAATATTATACACACGGGTTACAGGCAAGTAAGTGCTCAAGCTGTGAGAGTCCCATCTCTCACACAATTGGTATGAAGGAGAAGAAGCCTAGTCCAGGCATTTGCTTCTTTCAGAAAGTGGGAAGTGGCACAAGGAAAATATTACATAAGCTATCACCAATATATACCAAGATTGGCAAAGTGACAAGGGCATGACCCCTTTCACCACCATTTCACCCTTTCCAGAGATTGAACTACATCATCTAGTCAACAAAGCTGAAATGAGGGAAACTGGAGGGGGTTTCTTACCCTTTCCCCCCCCCCAAAGGAACATGGGAGTACCCATGCATTCTCCAATTAATACATTGTTAAGAGTATCTGGCCCTTCCAGACCATTTATTTGCCAGGAAACTAACCAGCTTAACTAAGTAGAGAATAAAGTGTTTTACACAAAGATCATATAAGCATGTAATTTCTTGAGGGAGGGAAATGAACACATGCATTTTGCATTTCCTCACAGAGCCTAAATATTTTCAGATGCACATTCATATCTGAAAGACCTTGACTTTTTGCTAATGATACTGTTACTTGTATATCATAAACTTTTGCTGGCTGTCCCTGGCAGGTATTTAATCTCAAGGAAATGTTCTGGTTAACATGAAGGAAGCTTTATTTGCAATTGGACTGCTGTAAATAAATATTTTTTACCTCATAAAAAAGCCCCCCTATCGGCAAGTGGCAGATTAAAATTTCATTGCTTTAGCAAAGTCCACATAAGTCTATATATAATTAGGCATTTTTTCTCCTTTCAGGACAGAGCATCCTCCAGGGTCAAACACATTTTAGGCAAATTGACAAGACAGAATGAAAAAGCTTAAGGTAACACTGCTTATTCTATATGAATTTTCTGGGAAAACAGATCATTTTATTCACTGCTCAGTTGTACCAATTTTGCTCGTCAAGCTCCCATTTCAAGGAAAGATTGTTTGGTCAGACATGCTTACCTTGGACATGACAAGCTATGAATCTTATTGATATATAGGCTATTTTTAGCAAGCTGTAGCAGGATAAATCATGTTTTCTATTGCCTGGTCCATATAGATTAGTATATTGAACTAACAGCATAGCATAAATAAAACACGCTGGCATAATATGGAAACAAATATATTAAATCACATCATAGTTCTACTACCAGAGCTCATACATCTTGGAGTAAAACTAATTAAGTTTTAAGGAAAGATTTCCTGCTTCACATTTAGTCAACAGAGCACCTTAAGGTTGTTTCTCAACCTCAGATAAGGAACCTAACTCAATTTTCTCATTTGTTCTTGATAATTTCCTAAAGCTGTCAGCAAGGATGTTAATTGGTGCTAAATATAACTGTGTATCTTCACAATGAAATGGTTTTATTTAACTCAAGCAAACAAACAGGGTTAAAGGAGGGAATATGGCTTCTGTATTTTTAATATGAACCAATAACAATATAAATAGAGTTTAGAACCAATATGCTCGCAGTCTTATGAATAGCAAGAATTCCTTATTGATCTTACAGTAGGGAAAGCAATTGTTATCTGGTATTCCAATTAGTTTTTAATTATCCAATTTAAGACATCTAGGCTGTTTTAAGAGTCTGGCCAAGTGCAGAGTGAATGCAGATTTCATACCTTCCAACTACCTGCAGCCAAATTCTGTAGTGCACCAGCTGCCCCTTCCAGTGTATCTGGATTTGAGCACTCAGAGAGAAGTGTGAGGTAGGGTTTGACTATGGATGGGTGCCATAGCATCTGGATTCCTTTTGGTGGTTCTGCACAGTCAGGGAGAGGACCAACTCCATCCCACTGAAAAGAAAAAAAGATGAACGTTATCAGGGCAGAGCAAAAGAGAAAAGCTTGCATTAAAAATAAAGATGTACTTCTATTCTTATAAATTTAATACACACTCAAGGACACCTAATGCAAAGAAATATTTATTTTGACCATTAAATAACTTACCTGTTATCTTATTTACGATGGCTGAAAGTCTTCAATTTTAGGGGCAATGTAATTCAACTGTTTGGAAATTGATGCCAAATGAGATTTATGCCATCACAAACTTATATCTAAATTAAACCAAAAACTAAAACTGATTTAAAATAACATAAGGAACAGAACTAAATCCAGTCTAAAGACCACACTAACTGCAAATAATTAGAATGAATCCAGTGATGATGAGGAAGCTCATTTTTAGAATAAGGGCAAAGGAAGCTTCTGTGCTCATCAAAACCTCATCTGTTGCTGCTGTGCAGGCTTAGCGAAAGCTTTTCTGAATCTTTTCAGAAAGGTTAGGCATGAATGTTCTCAGAACAGGGAGGAAAGTCTTGAATCTGCAGCAGAATAGAGCTAAATCTCTCTCTCTCTCCCTCTCTCCCTCTCCATCTCTCTCTCTCTCTCTCCATCCATCCATCCATCCATCCATCCATCCATCTATAGTATCTGCTAGTTTTCTATTAGTAGTCCCCAAAGCAATGTACAATTATAAAAAATAAGCAGATTATATGCCAATAATGGGGTATGTCTAATGTTTCATTCAAGTAAGAGACTTCCTTTTTCTGTGAAATGAGTGAAGGATCTACATGAACAGGTATTCATCTCTCCCCATATTCAGTCACCAGAAATATACATCTATATACAACAATAAAAGTTAAAACATTATAAAACAATTTAAAAGGTATGTTTCAAATACATACAAGTAGGAGCAAAAGAATGTTATATAGCAACTAGTAAAATCATCATCTTAAAGCTATTTGTGATTTCATTTATATATTTGTTTATAAATATGTATTTCTCAAGTGTCTTTTGAGGTAAAGTTCTCCCAGAGATGTATTCAAGTGACTCTTTTTTAAAAAATGCTGCCATATTCGGTTTGGCCACTTGGGTATTTCTCCCATGTTCCCACAGATTTTTTGTTCACTATTAAGATCTGCCACATCTTCTCCTTTTCAATATATTTTTTCTGCGGCTGTCTCCACAGACTTCAGTTAAGTCGGGCTTTTGCTTTTCTGTTCTTTACTGCTACTTTGGGAAATTTCCTATCTAAGTAGGCTACTCTTGACCACCTCTTCTTTTCTTCCTCATCTCATGACGACCCAAATATTCCTCACTACCTCCAGGTTTGTTTTTTTTCACCAAATTTCAAATTCTTACAGCAATAATCACTTCACCACCAGTGTGTCACCCTGCCTCTGTTGGTACTTCTTTTATCCCTTAGCTGGTGAGATGCAACAAAACAACATTTCTTGCAGCTTGAAGAAAGCTTCTTAGTTACAGAAGGGCAAAGAAGGGCAGAAGGATGTGTTCATTCCAGAACCTCAGGGTTAACTTCCAAAAAGAAAAGGGCAACAAAAAGATGGTTTCATTGCCTTCTTTCCTATAAAAAATATTGTCCATGGAAAGGAAGAGTCCTTTCTTCTACACAGATCATGTAAGAAAGTCAACTTCAGTTATAGTCAGAGATTAACTACTCATCTCATATGACAAAAAATCAAGGCTATAAAGAAAATGAAACAGAACTAACACTCAAGCGAGTGTTAAACTGGATGCCTCCAGACTGTGCAGAATACACACCCACGTATACATCACACACACAACATATTCAGTCAAGAATATATCATATGTTTTCAAGCAACAATTGTGATAGAAGAAAATTTAACAACTCATCTGGAGGTATCTAGTCATAAACCAGCAAGTACAGAATAAGTATTCATCAGATGTAGAAAATTTGGATGACAAATAGGATTGAGCTCCAGACTGCATAGAATAGGCATCTCAATAAAACATGTGTGACTAATTTAATTTCTTCCTTTAAGATGTGAGGCAGTTATGCATTGGAAGATTGTAATATCTCCTTTCTGGGAGTGTGGAAGACTGGGGAATGAATTTGGCCAAATAGTCTCTCCCATGCAACATGCTCAAGAGGTTGAATTAGCTGGTGTGAACAGCCTCCCAGGTAAACCACTATTAAAAAGGAAATTCCAATGTTTCTGGAAATCAGTATTGAAATGCCCCATTTTAGCTTCATCTTAATACTCTTCAGGTAGAGTGAAGCCAAATATTAAGCTAATAAGCCATCTTGTCTACTTTCATTCCTGTTCTATGATGATGAAAAGCTTTCTTGTAGAATCAGGGAAGCTAAAGATCCATAATTAAAAAAATCAGTTTGAGCCAAAATATGAGACAGAAACCTTCTAATGAGGATAATTCTGATTCTTAATACAAAAGGGAGTTAGAAATATCTCAATAAAAGAAATAATACAACTAGACATTTTGGAGATTTAAGCCCCTACTGGGAACTCACAATGGCAAGGTCCTTCAGATTTTGCATTCTGCATCTTTTATCATTAACTATCTTGATTAGGAATTGTAATCCAATTCCTAGAGCTACATACTCTTCACTGCTGCTACATAAGGTTGACTTTCGGAATGCTACCATTGGAGCTCCCATAAGCAAGGAATGATGAACATTCTAAATAATTGTCAAATAATTATGATAAGAAAATAAACCTGCTAATAAATTTCAGTTTTCAGACTAAATAGAGGGATAATAAGGGAATGAATCTTTTCTAAAATAAATGAAAAACAATAACAGGACAAATGTTAAATACACAATCATACATTACAATAATTCCTTATGGATTTGTGTTGCATGCTTTGATGCTAATAATCTGGAATCTAATCAAACTTTTTGTGCTATGCATAACTTTGTCTATGTAATCTCTATCAATGAGTACAACAAAAAAAGGGAAGAGCACCATTTAGGTAAATTAGGTATATTTCATATATGAAAAGTAAGAGAACAATCCATTCTAGTATGCAGAAATCTATAAATACTACTTTCTATGTGTGGGAGATGGACCAATAATGGAACATGTTTGCAGTATGGAATCATACTGTTGGCCAAGACATTGCATTCCTCTGTGTTTTTCACATACAGAAATTTTATTTTTTTTCTGTAGTCATACGGGAAAAGGAGATTTCCATGTATTTAATTTAATTTAGACATTGTTCAACTCCATGTGACCCTGGGCAGTTCCCAAGTAATAACTTAAAAACCAATACAAATTATTTAGTAGATGAACTATCTCTTCAATAGACTTGAATACCAAATGTTTTGTAAAATTTGGAAGAAGATTCTCAATCTAAAATAAATTTAAACAATTTCAAATTTCAAATTAAATCAAGTATTATAATAACTTGTCTTCAAATCACCTTAACAGCACCTTAGCTGTTGCATAATTTAAGATGTCAATGGAAAGGCTTACCAGGATAGCTAGTCAAAAGTGGTCATCAGTTAAAAGTGACCAGTGAAGCCTAACTGCTTAACGCATTGTAAGCCTCCCTGAGTCTCCGGAGAAGGGTGGCATATAAATTATAGCAAAACAAAAACAAAAAACAAAAAAAACCTGAACCAATAAAAGCATCATGGAGAAAAGATTATTTTGCTTATTTGTTTATTTTAAAAGGTTTTGCTAAAGAGATAAATGTTTGCTTAAATTTTCTCTGCTTCAGTTTCAATTTAATGGGGTGGTAGTTTCTATTTGCTCAGCACAGCCCATTTCAAGGAATCTGGCTTTTTTTCAACAGCACAGAACTATACATCCTTCTTAAGTATGATATATTGTGTCTAATTGATTGCTCACATGGAGAACTTTCAACCCCTCACAGAAAATTGAGGTACAGGGAAAACTAAGTCAATGATCTGCCAGATACTGCTGAATTACAATTCTGAGCAAAGAAGCCAGAATGGCTAAAAATAAGAGTGCTGTGAGCTACAAAATCTAGAGAGCATGATGTTTCCAAAGCTTGCTCATACTGTTCATAGAGGGAGACTGAAGTCTATGTTGAAGAAAATATTGATTTAAAATAACTAACTGAATTTTTGGCAAAGGCTTACAAAGTAGAAAAACATTACCTCAAAAAGATCTTGTTAATACATTATTCTTGTGATCATTATTATCTCAACCTAGCAATAAATTAAACTTTCACTTTATTACTTCAGTCAAACATCAAAACTATAGAATTAATAAAATTGCTAAAAATATTAATACTAAGCAGTAATTGCACTATGGATTCTACAGGCCCTGTAACAATATTTAGACGCATTTAAAAAGATTCATTTTTATCTGACAGTAGATACTGAAGATAGAACGAATTCTAAGTGCTTTGATAATATAATTAGTAGCCAGAATATAGATTGTGAGATGACCTTATAGAAAATAACATAAGAAAAGATGAACAACTCTCCACAGATAATCTCACACAAAGATGATTTGATATGCGATGTTTCTATATCTGCCTTCTAGTACTACTGTTGGTAATACATTCAAACATGCTAATGTCGTTATTATCTCATACTTTAATATTTAAATATCAACTTAAATATCTAACTGCAGGAACTAATAAACTGATTGCTAAGTTAAATCCTTTTTGGCAGTTGGAGTCTTTCATTCAATCATTCATGCATTCAATTTTTTACCCATTACAATTGATAATTTCTTAAGGTTTATGAAAATCCATAATAGAATTATATAGTCCAAGTAAACAATTGCAAGATTAAATCAATAAAAAGAAATAAACTACTAATGGTAAGCAATAAAAATGGTGAGATTAAGAATCAAAGGCTCTTACTTTTTTCCAATTTTAATAATTTCCTAACTGGATTATAATAGCCAAGGTATGCCAGCTTTTGTATAACACAACCACTCCTCTTAGTAAGAAAAATGTCTGTTAAAATTAAGGAAACCAAACCAATATGGAAAAAGAATAATTTTAACCTATAATTTAAAAAAATTGCCCATGTTGCA